GAATGGGGAAAATTAATGTATAGTCAAAACTATAACTTCCTCGGTGTAATTCAGTCTAGCAGAAGTGATATAGCAGGTTATACAATGATTGGGAAAAAATTATTAAAGGAAGAAAAGAAAAATTTTACCTTACATGGTAAGTATGCCTATAGACCTAGCCTGAGAATTGGAGAGAGGCTGTAAAGCAGAATCAGAGACCTCTTGAAAGCGCTGGGGCAACAATAAAAAGGTAAAAGAAGGAAAGGGAAATCTGCCAACTCAAGAAAGAGTTGTATTGAAATTAGGAAGAGCTTTCTGGCAGCATTGATGGCCAGGCAGTGGAATGAGCGTCCAGGGAAACTGCAAATTCTTCAGCACTGGGGTGAGGGTAGGTAGGGGTGATGGGGATGTGGGGCTCAAAGATGGACTAGATGACCTGTAGGGGTCCTTTCCAGTTCTATTTCCCATGTCTAAATTGGGAGTTCAAGACTGAAACCATCTCTGTTTTCTTGGTAAATATTAAGATATAAAGGTCGGGGCAGTAAAGCAAAGATATCAATTCATTGACCTACTGACTTTCCAGGCAAGAAGGACTCCTGAAAATATGTCCTATAGTGGAAATTAAGCTTCCCTCTCTCTTCCAAGGAAATTACTGAGGACTATGAAGTACTCTCACACTACAGTGCTGAGTATTCTGCAATATCAGAATATAAATCTATTGACCCTTGGTCAGTTATATAGAAAAGTTGCATTCAATCAAGTTTTGTTTGCATTATTTAAAAGGATCTGTCAAAACCTAGTGTCACTTGAAATCTAAGGTCGCTCTTAGGATGAACGTTCCTGCCACTCCATCTCTCTAGGCTCAAGTCAAAAGTAAAACAGGACAAAAAATAGGAACATGTGGTATCCTTCAGCCTTTGGTGTGGTGCAAAGTAGTATAGCAGTGCAGCAAGAGCAAGGAGAAGAAAACAGAGAAAATGTTAGTATCACCAGTGAAACCGCAATTCTAGTTAGAATCAGACAAAAATCACTATAAAAAAAAAGAAAACCCATTACTGATAGAATTAGTGATGGTGAGATTAAAGGAAAAACTCATTGTGTGTCAGTTACGAGACTTCCAGCGGAGGTGGGATTCACATCACATCAGATTTTCTCAGTTATCTTTTCTTACCGTGCACTGTCAGTGCCGCAGTCGTCTTCTCGGCTCCACACACACAGGTGTATTCCCCAGCATCCTTGACTTCTAAAGCATGGATCAGCAGTTGTGCTGTGGTACCTTCCTGCCTCATAGCGTATTTTTCACTTGATTTGAGCACCTTGTGCTTCTTTTTCCACTCCACAGAGGCAGCCCTAGACAGCTCGCATTGCAGCATGGCTGTTCCACCTTCCGTGGCTTCTTCATTCCTCATCTCCTTCTTGAAGTGCGCAGGCAAGGCTGAGGAGGTCAAAATGAGCAGAATGCATGACCAGGGCAGCTCTCCTAGGAGCTATTTGTCTGTGCTCTGTCACATTTGACAAGAAAAGCCTTCCCTAATCAAATAGGACTGGTAACCACTCTGGGAAATGATGGTGACTTCGGAAAGCTGGAGAGCACCTTGTTCATAAGTCAGACCCTTTCAGAGAATCACAGGATGTCAGGAGTTGGAAGGGACCTCAAAGTATCACCCAGTCCAACCCCCTTGCTAGAGCAGGATCACCCAGACCAGGTCACACAGGAACACGGCCAGGGGTTTGAATGTCTCCAGGGAAGGAGACTCCACAACCTCTCTGGGCGGCCTGGGCCATGCTCTGACACCCTCACACTGACAAAGCTTTCCCTTATGTTCAGCTTGAGCCTCCTATGCTCCAAGCTTGGGACCATTGCCCTTTGTCCTGGCATTGGACAACCCAGAGCAGAGCCTGGCTCCTTCCTCCTGACACTCGCCCTTTCCAAATGGATCCCCAGGAATGAGGGCACCCCTCAGTCTCCTCTGCTCCAAGCTCAAGAGCCCCAGCTCCCTCAGCCGCTCCTCAGCAGGAGATGCTCCACTCCCTCCAGCATCTTTGTGGCTCTGCTCTGGACTTTTTCAAGCAGTTCCTGTCCTTCTTGAACTGAGGGGCCCAGAATTGAACACAATATTGCAGATGTGGTCTGAGCAGGGCAGAGCAGAGGGGCAGGAGAACCTCTCTGCCCTACAACCACCCCTTCTCATACACCCCAGGATGCCATTGGCCTTCTTGGCCGCAAGGGCACATTGCTGGCTCATGGGCATCCTGCTGGCCACCAACACCCCCAGATCCTTTTCTGCCTGTCACCGTTTTTATGGTATGGTCTGTGGCGTTAAATGGAGAACCACAGCAGTCTCAACTTGAGACTCTGCAAGACTGAGCCCTGCCGTACTTGGTTACTGCCTGGCACAATGGAAAGTAAATCCCAGCTGGAGTTTATGAGATCTATTCTAAAGCAAATAATTACTTAAAATGCTCATAAATTAAACTATGCCTGAGGCATCAATCTCAATTCCTTATGAGATTTCTCCTCAGCTAATGCTCTAGCAGAACTTGGCTGTCAAATTATTCTGAAACACTGAAAACTACCAAAAATATCTCATAATCAAAAAGTAATATTCCCAACTTTAGGATTGGAATGCCTTTACAATCAACATTACAATAATCTGATTCTCCTTTTTAGACAGCTACTACTGAACGTGAGCATCAAAGAAGTAAGTTGGAACCAAGATGAGTATCTGAAACTTTTGCAATGAACACCTGATCAGTGCCTGATTCTGACCACTGTATTCAAGAATTTAGAGAATCATAGAATCATAGGATGGTTTTGGTAGGAAAAGACTTTCAAGATCATTGAGTCCAACCATCAATCCAGCCCTAACTGGAACTAGACCATGTCCCTAAGCATGACATCTCATCTTTTAAACACCTCCAGGGATGGTGACTCTACCACCTCTCTGGGCAGCCTGTTCCATTGCTTGACAACCCTTTTAGCAAATGAATTCTTCCTAATATCCAACCTAAACCTCCCCTGGTGTAACTGAAGGCCATTTCCTTTTGTCCTATCACTAGCCACCAGGGAGAAGTTACCAACACCCAATTTATGCCCATATCCAACCACACATTGCTAAATTAATCAGAAACAGGACCGCAATGTGAAAGCTGACACTACCACACTCTTAAAAAAACAACTGGTTGAAAATAATCCACTTAATTTGATTTTTTGGGGGAGGGTTTACCATTCACTTTTAGTGCAGCAGTGGTTTTCTGATCTCCATAACAGCATGTGTAATCTCCAGCATCTGTCAGATCTAAGTCACGGATCACCAGCTCGGCAGTTGTGCCCTCGCATCTCATGGTGAATTTGTTGCTTGGCTCCAGGGCTCGGTCTCCTTTCCTCCACTCCACGGCAGCTGAGACCTTGTTCAATTCGCAGCAGAAAGCAGCCGTGCCCTTTTCTGTGGCTTCCACATTCTTCAACTCTTTTTTAAAATGCGGAGGAAGGGCTGAAGATCACAGGTGAAGAGAGAGCACTTTAAAACTGAGGAAATACCCTATCATGACCTCTCCACTGGATCATAACCCTCTAATCTCTAACAGTTTTAGAATATACAGTGCCTGAGAGGCAAACAATGATTTTAGGGGCATCCCTGCCTTATGCTTTACAACACAGCACATTCAGCATGTCACAGCTGAACTGGAAGTCAGCGTTGTAAAGCTTTAATTTCTGTACAGGATGGTATGTTTTAAAGGCATTTTAGGAGATAACAAGAGAAAGCTGATCCCAAGATTTCAAGGCACTGTGCTCAGCTCTGTCTTAAGATCAGATGAACAATTAAAATGAACACTGTGTAATTTAAATTTCCAGGCTGCAACGTATCACTCTCACTTGCCTTTCTCTGTTGTTATCATAACAGAGCACCTGCTATTCCATTCAAGGGAAAAAAAAGTGAAATCTCAGTGATATACCTAGAGAAATTAATGAATGGAAATACTTAAAGTGTTATTTATTACTTCACCAAGGTCTTCATATCTGCTTCCAGATTCCATTAACATGAAAGAACAGGGATGGAACAGACTGTGTGATGGTATTCACCAGTCCCACGTGAAGGACTTTCAGGAAAAGACATTCCCCATGGTTGATACAGCTGTCTGTCACAGAATTCAAAATAACAGACTGGATCAAGACCAAGCAGAAAATCCCTATTAAACGTATGCATTTTACCATGCACTGTGAGGGATGCAGTGGTTGTCTTGTCTCCACACACGCACGTGTAATCTCCCGCATCTCGCTCCTCCAGGCTATGGACCGTCAGCTCAGCAATGGTGTCCTTCAGCCTCATTTTGTACTTCTCGCTAGGCTTGAGCGCCTTTTGCCCCTTCCTCCACTCCACCGGAGTGGGTTTAGTTACCTCACACTGCAGAACAGCCGTCCCGCTTTCGGTGGCTTCCACATCGACAAGTTCTGTTTTGAACAGTGCAGGCAAAGCTATGGGGCGTAACATAAACAGAGAGGACGTCAAAACCGTTAACTGGACCTTGAGGAGCTTAGGACCAGGTCCTGAGGCCGGTCCTTCACTATTACAGGAAAACAAATCACACAGTCTTGAAAACTGCATCTAAAACTCCCACCGCAGGATGTCACAGGGAGCATGGCCACCATGACCTGCTCCTAGCGTTGACTTATGCAGCATGTTCATCACTTCCCAGCTGATTCCAGCAGTCCTCTCTGCCTATTATGGTCTGAAATATTCTTGCTTGAACGTTAATGACCTGACTTGTGATTGAAGGACATCACCCTGGATGATGGCACTGCTATAGCTGATGATCTCTGCCTTTCCTGACACCATAATTTCTCTTTCTGGCTCAGAAAAGAGAAGTTCATAATATAACTTCAGGTGCGCCTCTAGGCCATAATTTCCAAGCACGCAATGGCTCTAATAGCAGGAATACAGGCAATTTTTTGGCAACATTCAGCAAGTTGCCTTGTGGTATGCCACCAAAGTTAAAAAGAAGGGACATGAACAGGGAAGAAAGTGCCATCTCAGAGGAGGGGAGGAGCAGATATAACTCCAGTTGGGAGAAAGAAGAGGAAGAAAAACCATACAGAAAATCTCAGATAAGAGAGTTTTGCCTCCACAGTTTTGCCCCTGTCCTTAGAGACATCTTAAGTTATAATTCAAATGAAAACTATTCTTTCACCTATTGAAACCATACATAAAGTGCCTCTGCTGGAGGGGCAACCAAAGCTTTTCATTATTCACCATGGCAGAGACAGGAGCAAAATCTGTCTCACTACTCCCTAGATTAGGACTCACAGAATAAACGGTTTGGGGTTTTTTTGGAAAGTACCATTTCCTCAGCAGAATGTATCACAGTCCCACAAAGGAGGAGGGCAATCACTCATTCCTGAATGGGAAAACCTCTCATTAACTGAGCTTTGTGTTCTTAAAGACCATTCCTTCAAGTTAAGCACTGAAATCCATGGATATCAGTGGGACACAAGGACAAACCCTCTGAGAACAACCTTGCTGCTAGAGGCCTGCCCACTTTTTGGCCTTACATGCAGCTGCCTTTTTCACTTTTAAAGTGACAAGTAAGATGAGAAACCCTCACAACTCTTCTTTACTTTGTTATAAAGCCACCAGTTTCAAGTGGGAGACGGGATGAAACACAGCAAGAAAATGCTGCAGAATCAAAAAACCAAAGCAAGTGGGAAAGAGACCTCTCAGAAAAACAGGGCCTCCCCGAGATACTGCTACCAGAACGGAGAACAGCTTTTTTACCGTGGACTGTCAAGACCGCTGAGGTCTTCTGATCTCCACACACACAGGTATATTCTCCTGTATCTTCTACCTCCAGATTTCGGATCAACAGCTCTGCAGCGGTATCTTCTTGTCTCATCCTGTACTTCTCACTCGGTTTGAGTGTCTTGTCCCCTTTTTTCCACTCCACGGGGACACCGACCTTGCTCAGCTCGCAGTGCAGGGTGGCTGTTGCGCCATCCGTGGCTTCTCTGTTCTTCAACCCTTCTTTGAAAAACGCAGGCAAAGCTGAAGGACAGCAATAGGAGCAGTGAGGTGTAATGCCCTGAAGGGTTAAAATTAACCTCTGATGTTTAAATTTCCTTTTTCCCCTCTTGTCTTGAACTGATTTATCAATACAAGAACATAGACTGGCAACAGTGTTCATCAGTATGAGGAGAAAATGTCATCACCAGGAAAGGCTACAATGTTTGCAGTAATCCAGAGAGGTATTTCACACATACTCAGACTCACAAATCAATACGGACAAAAGAAGAAAATCCAATTTTTTTTTTTCCTGAGAAATTTCAGGCATAAAAGAATAAATGTTAACTTGAAATTTCTGAAAAAAATAATTGGTTCACTGCTATGACTTTTTAAACCATGAGAGGTGGAGATTTGTCATGTTTTCACATACTCCATTAAAAAAAATGAAACATTGGCGTTTCATTCCAAATGTCAGTTTGAAATGAAATTATTCATTTCAAACACATGGTGGGAAAACAAACATTTTCAGCTGAACTGACAAATCCTTTCAAACACATCAGTTACAGTAAAAAATCAAAGGTCTCCCTGGGAATGGTTGTCCCTTAGTAGGTTTTACAGGGGAAAGTAATTGAATGCAATGACAACTGGCCCATATGTATAAAAGCACCTTGTTGTCCCAAGAATGGAGTATGGGATAAGATTCCAGGGAATAGCCTGACTTTTAGTAATTTTATAAAACTTTAAAATCCCTAAGTCACAGTCCCTTTGAGGGAACCCGTTTCAATGGGCTTGAGCATGGCAGGGTGGTCTAATAAGGGAAATTTCAAGTGGAGAAGCAAAACGATGGACCCTAATTAAAAGAGTAGCGGCCATCCAGGTTGTCTATGTGTTTCTGTGAGCTTGCACCCTGATACCCCTCTCGTTCCATGCACCCCGACCACACCGACACCCATGGGAGCCCTTCATTGGCACCAGTGAGGTGTGGGTAAGGGTCTGGCAGAAGGAAGGAGGTGGTAGGATCACCATGTATCTGAGAAAACAGCATAGTTACTTGTAGTACGTGTCTCATTTTGGTTGTTTTACCATGTACTGTTAAAACCGCCACAGTCTGCTGGTCTCCACACACGCAGGAATAGTTCCCAGCATCCATCGTGTCTAGATTTTGGATGATGAGCTCAGCAATGACACCTTGGCGTCTCATTTTGTACTTGTCACTTGGTTTGAGGGTCTTGAAGCCCTTCTTCCACTCCACGCTAGCAGAAGCCTTGTTCAGCTCACAGTGCAGAGAGACGCTTTTCCCTTCCATGGCTTCTACATCTGTCAGTTCTTTGGTGAAAAGAGCAGGCAGGACTGCAGAATAAATTCAATACGGACATGACATCAATGCTGAGAAAGCCTGACCCACGATCTACTCACTCTCTTCTCTTATCTCCCTGAACCTGCACATCACTGAAGCCACGAGACCTTCTTCCACTCCAGCAACTTGTTCCAGTCTCTAAAGAGATTTCAATCTGATTTTTAACTTTTTTTTGTCCTCATGCTTTAAAAGTGAGTCTGTCTATCTACAAACTTAGTTGACAAGCCGCCTGTCCATTACTTTATACACCATAAAATCAAAGGGGTAAAATTAGAAGCCATATTCCAATATGAAACTCCAGGAATTTTGTGTCAAGTGTAACAGTCTAAGCTAAAAAAAGTAAACATCATTCCCACTTTTAGGTCAGTCCCTATAAAAAAAAACTTCAAAGAAGAAGCTGTACTGGACCAGGGAGATTGTGCTGAGCTGAGGACCTGTTCTCCACTCATCACTTGAGCATAGCATCTAGGAAGACAAATAGCACATCAAGAGGGCAGCAGGTGAAAGGAGAAAGAGAAAAGGAAAAGAGGATAGAAAAAGTAGTCAACAGAGGGAAGGATAGAAAGTATATAGGGACCAGCAGGAGTAAAAGAAAAAGAGAGTTGGGAATTGTACGGATTTACTTGAGGCATGTGCTGAGGATTTCTTTTTACCGTTTACTGTCAAAGCAGCCGTAGTCCGTTGATCTCCGCACACACAGCTGTAATCACCAGCGTCCACCAAATCCAAATCCCGGATTGTCAGCTCCGCACAGGGACCTTCCTGCTCTAGTTTGTATTTTTCACTTGGCTTGAGGACCATATTCCCCTTTCTCCACTCCACTGGGGCAGATTTGCTCAGTTTACAGTGCAAAGTGACTGCCTGCCCCTCTGTCGCTTCTTTGTTCAACATTTCTTCTTGGAAGAGGATAGGCAAGGCTGAAGGATTCAATATCAACAGAGAAGGAGTCAGCACTGGATCCAAAGGAACTGGGCTCTGCTGTGAGTAAGTGGGCTGCAGTGTATACACTTAACCAAAAATGCACTACTTCTAGGTGGATACAGTTGAAAGGGGGGTAAAACCTCCCAGATTAGAGAGAAATAAATCAGAAAAAAATAATATACAGCATAGATGTGCTGTCTCAAAGCAAAAAATAAAAACCACAAGGGTATATTCTCTCATAGGGTGACTTTTTGCCACTAAAGAGACAAGAAGATGAAACCTCTAAGAAATCACACTGGCTAAGCTTTGGATGATCAGAAAAGCATGCTAAGTTTGGGACATAATGAGAAACACCGGTAGAAGGGTTACCATTCACTCTCAAAGCAGCTGTTGTCTTCTGGTCTCCGCACACGCAGCTATAGCTCCCGGCATCCGTCAAGTCCAGGTCTTGGATCACCAGCTCAACAAAACGCCCTTCCTGCCTCATTTTGTATTTGCCATTTGGCCCCAGCACCTTCCCGTCCTTCCTCCACTCGACCGAGCCCACGGCCCGGCTCAGCTCGCACTGCAGCGTGGCCGTCCCGCTCTCGGTGGCTTCCTCGTTCCTCAGCTCCTTCTTGAAACGGACTGGCAGGGCTGAGAGATGCAGAACAAAAAGGGGTTGCAACCCAGGACTCTGCCCAGATCTCTGGTCAGAGAGATTTGATTTAATTGTGGTTTATCATATGACCACCTAAGACTTATTCCAACACCCTTATCCTTAAGGACATTCTGCCTTTTTTTTTGTGGACAGTAAAAATTCTCGAGTAAATTGTTCTGTGGGAATCAAAATATGCATGATCTTGATTGGGGTCATGGACACAAATGACAAGCTGATCCTTATCATTAAAGGCAATGAACCCTCCTCAACAGGAAATCCCAAGGGATCTGATGTTTCCATACAAATTCAGGACAATGTACAAGCACATCAGCACCCTTCACTTGAGGAAAGGTGAGAAGACAACACAACACACACAACATTGGGCATAGTGAAAGCTGATTGTGGATGGAGACTGGGGAAAGGAGTGACACGGCAACATGAAAACATAGAAGGAAGGAAAAAGTAGAAGCAGGACATAAAGGTTGATGTTGTGAGGGAACATACAGAAAGGAAGACAAGTATACAAAAGTATTCCAGAGTTTCACAGGTTATTTCTGACTTTTTACCATTGACTGACAAGGCTGCTGTGGTTTTTTGGCTCCCCACTACACATGTATAATCTCCAGCATCCTTTAGGTCCAGGTCATGGATCAGCAGCTCAGCCGCTGTGCCCTCCTGCCTCATCCTGTACTTGTTACTTGGCCGGAGAAGAACGTGTCCCTTCCTCCACTCCACGGTGACCTCTTTGCTCAGCTGGCATCGCAGGGTGGCTGTCCCACCTTCAACAGCTTCCACGCTCTTCAGCTCCTTTGTGATGAGTGCTGAGACGGCTGAGGAATGAAGCGTTCTCATTTTACTTTAGGAGCATCATTACCAACAGGTGACATCACACGAGGCTTAAAATCAAAATGAATTCTCATTTACCACATCAATTATCACAGCTAATAAGCTCTGACCTACCTGCACACCCAGGACTCTACATGCATTTACAATAGCACGCCACGAGTTTGGGAGGAAATAAAAACCAAAACAGTTATTTCCCAATCATTAAAACATCAAGGTAATTACCCTTCTGCTGCCCAAATGCTGACGGTCACAGGCGCACAAAAAAGTGCAGAAGAGAATTACTTATTCTTTAAGAAAACGTGTAGCTGAAACCCTTCTTACCTTCCAGCTTAGAGCTCAGACAAGCACCTCTATCCAGAGCAGAAAGCAGAACAACTATTTCAGAGGCAAACAAAGATATCTCATCAACAGGTATATTTGATTGCTATGTTTTAGCATGAAGTTATTGTCCTAGACAACAGAGAACACAATGGACCCAGCCAGAGCTGCCTTTTGTTTGCACCGATCTCTTTTTTCTCCTGAACACTCACTATAAATGTGCAGGACCTGGCAGGACCACGGCAAGAACAACAAGAAATGGTCGCGAGCAGGTGTCTCATTCCTACCATGGATTTGGACTTGGGCTGTGGTCTGCTGGTCTCCAGTGTCACAGGTGTATCTTCCCGCATCTTCTGGCTCTGCATTATGAATCACCAGCTCTGCCACTGTCCCCTTCTGCTTCATTTCATATTTGGCACTTGCCTGGAGTGTGGCTTCTCCCTTCTTCCACACCACGGTGGTGTCGGCTTTTGTGAGTTCGCAGCGCAAGGAGACAGATTTCCCCGCTTCCATTTCCGTGTTCTCCAGGGCTTGTTTAAAAAGAACAGGCACAGCTGGAACACAAACCCAGGGGTTAGGATGTGCCCTCTTGAACTCCTGCACATCAAGTGCCCCAGAGTAGCTGTCCCTCCTTAAAACCGTTTTCCAAATGAGCAGAGCAGCCCTAGACCCTCCCTTGGCTGTGTGGTATCAAAGTTCCGCTTGGGAGCAGGAAAAAATCTCTCCCACAGATTTTATCATTTCACTGGGGATTCCTAGGAGTATGAGGGCAGTTTCTCTCATTTTTAATGAGGACCCTTTCAGAGTCCTCTGGACATCCTCACTGGACAAACTCCCTGCTTCTGAAGGGCTCGGAGATGGTGTTCATGCCCTGTATTTCTCCTGCTTTCTGCTCCAGCACATACTATATATATGTATATACTATATATATGTAGCAAAAGTGCTATATTACTAGAAGTATTGCATTTTTTTAGCATTGGAGAGTGCAGGTGGCATCCAAGAGCCCTTAAAAAGGATGTTTTGGGGAGTTTGAGGGCCTAAACATTAATCGTTTGGCCACCTGCTATTTACCATGGACTGGACTTATGTTTCCATGTCTTTGTGCTCCAGCGCTCCTGGCCTCCATCTCTAACTCCAGTCTTAAACCCAAATAGCTGATAGGAACTATGGCTCATAGGGTATAGAAAATGAACCCTCTGCACTTATTTATTTTCTGCTCAGTGGGAAGTTACAGATTTAAACTCCCAGATGCATAAAGTGAGATTACACGAACGAAACATATACAGGTGCTGACAAGTATGCAATTTTACTGCTAAATTTTACTTATTAGTCTGTAGAAGGCACTGCCCCAAAGTGCTATGTGTGGGGTTTTTTTTAATAACAGCTCAATTAAGCAATGCTTTAAGAAAGCACAGCAACATATTGAACTCTGCCTACCATTTACTTTCACCTGAGCAGTGGTCTTCATTTCCCCAGCGGTGCAAGTGTAGTCCCCAGAGTCTATGGACTTGACATCTCGAATAATGAGCTCTGCCACAGTACCGTGCTGCTTTAATTCATATTTCTCGCTGGCATAGAGGACAGTGTTGCCTTTCATCCATTTCACCGGGGCACCCGGTTTGCTGAGCTCACAGGTCAGCCTGACTTGTTTACCTTCTTTAGCTTCTTCATTTTGGAGCTCTTGCTTGAAAAGAACCGGCATTTCTGAAAATAAAAAAGAATATTGTAAGTGTTTAAAGGGACACACAGGACTGGAAATCACTTTTCCCTTTTTTTGTTTCAGACTTGGGTTATTCAGATAGAAAACCACAGGAACAGAAAAGCGCTAGCAAACAGCAAACAGGTTCTGACAACTCACATCTGGCTGCCAGCACTCCACAGCAGCAACAACAATATTTGAGACCGTATGCTCATTTTTCTTTTAGCCACTCTCTGGACTATTGAAGATGATGCTACTATTACTGTGGCTGTCATTAACATCAGTGGCAGATGCTGCACTGGTATCAATGAGCTGGTCAGAGCTGGACCACTGGCACAAAAAATGTAACACTTTACTGAGGTCAGCTCACACATAACACAGAGGACACAGAGAAATGGCAAAGTACTTTCTGTCACAACCAGCAGTATTGATTTCTTGCTATAAAATAAAACCTCACGACGTATTTTTGTCCGACGTGAAGACAGACTTTAAAACAGCACAGAGCAAACACAGAGAGGAAAGCACAGCTGCACGTGAGAGGGTCCCTGTGGAGATCCTTGAAGGTGATGTAGAGTAGCAAAAGCACTTATTGGGGAAAAAAAACCTCAACTGAAGAGTTTTCCTCTCAGATCATGAAAAAGAAACTCAAATTATTCCTGGTTTTTGCTGTCTTATGAATATGCGAGTCAGCCACTGATCTGTGATGCAGTTGTCCTGGAGCTATTGAAAAGCTGCAGCCTATTCTTCTGTTCCCCCTTCACCTCTGGTTTGGGACACTCAGTGTCACATGGCTGCTGACTTTTGGGTTTTTGCCTATTTTTGCATTCTGCTTTTCTGATGTGAACCTAAGAAACAGGGAAGCTACAACAGTTCAATTTGTTGTAGGCACCTTTGTGACTCCTTCATATCTGCTGGTGATCTGAATTTGTGTGTTTAAATCCTGCATCCAGCCACATCCTTCTCTGCAAAGGGAAAAATGGGGCTGCTGTGTAACATGACGAATGTGGGGTTTTCCTAACAGAAAATTGTTCTTCATCATGGGGGTGCTCCAAGTCCTACTGAAGTTCATAGAATCACTATGGTTGGAGAAAACCTCTAAGATCATCAAGTCCAACCGTTACCTAACTCTACCATGCCTATGTCTAAACCATGTCCCTGAGCATCGTATCTGGATGGATTTGAAATAAATCCAAGGATGGTGATTCAAACACTTTCCTGGGCAGCCTGGTCCAGCCTTTGATAACCCTTTCAGTGTAGGAAAAGTTAACACTGATCTTTCTTTTGTGTGTAAAGGGTATTGGGAAAACATCCTAGTGCTACAGAAAGACATAAAATCCAGACCATTAACTATCACCCCTCTTCTTCCTTACATCATCATGAAGGTTTTCTCTTTCCTTGCACAGCAGATCTCAGCCTTAAGTTGGCTTGTTTCTTGTGCTCTAGATAAATACTGTGAGCAGCTTGCCTTCCCTCTTCATGCTCTGAGGTTCAGGTTGATCATTCCAACCACCCAAATGCTTTTTTTTTTTGTTCACACTGACTTCTCTAACCCAGGTGGAGCTTCTGATTCACCCTTCTCAAATGTGAATGAGTGATCTTGCTCACAGAAACCAAGCTCCTCCTCAACCTTGGTCTGGGGCAGTGACTCAGGACAGGCAGGAGCATTAATAACATGGGTAGTAGATGAGCCCAGTTCTGACACAGTTCAGACACAATGCTCACCTATCATGGTCTTATCCTATGTGCTCGGGGAAGGGCACTAAAGTTTCATGTGTTGAAGAAGACAACTTTTGCTTCAGCTCAGCCAACAACACTTTAGATAGCACCTCTTGCCTGATCGCGCTTTTTGGGTGCATTACTCAATAGATTTGGTAATTACTCACAAAATGTGAGCGTATAAGTACCCCCTTTGGAGAGGGCCATCAGTAGGGACAGCTTCAGAAGGTGGTTTGTCCTTTCTCCACTCTTAGGCTGGGTGAATCTCCTACAGAGATACTCACTGTTCTCTACTGACTTATTGCTCTCTTGAGAGCTCAGACACTGGACTTGTATAGAGCTAAAACCAGGTAAGATGAAGGATTTTCCTGCTTCACTGTCTGTGACCTCTCTGGGTGCTTCTCCAGACTGGATGAGAACCTCTCCTTTTCAGTATAGCTTAACTTTTTTATAAGTTCAGTTTATTCCTCTGACCTCAGCATGAAATGACGAGTTAAGACCCGAACCATCACTCCAAATGTTCTTACCCTTGACAGTAATAACAGCACTACTTTTAGCTGCTCCAGCCTCACACTCATATCTGCCACTGTCTCCTTCTTCTGCCCTGTGAATGACAAGCTGGGCTTCAAATCCCGACCGGCTGATGTTATACTTGGAAGAATTTCTAAGGCTCTTCCCGTCCTTGCACCACTTTACAGGGCTGTCTGATTTGGAGGTTTCACAGTGAAGGATCACATCCTCTCCCTCAGTGACTTCCGTATCAACCAGCTCCTTTGTGAAGATGCAGGGCTTTTCTAGAATCACATAAAAACCATCTGAGATGTTTCAGAAGAGGTGTGGATTTTCAGTTCACAAGTAACCTGTGAGATTCACATCCAAGATTACTTGTATCAAAACTACAGCTCAAGGTTAGCAGGCAATAATTTGGTGTTCATGACCATAAAGCCCTCAGGGAGGCACCAGTCACAGCACAAAGTCTTGTTTAGTAAATACTTGACTGAGAAGACACCATCCCTGTTGAAGAGTGTAAATAAGATGTCTCTCATATTTCGCTAAATAAAAACAAGATGGAAGCACAACTTTCCCAAGCCCTTTTCCACACGAGCTGATTAGTTCAAACCTCCTAACTGAATCTGGAAAAGATAATTCTGCATGAAGTGAGGTGCAATACAGGTTTCACCTAGAGCAGGTCTCATCCCATCAGCATGAGTCCTCTAAAAACCAGGCAGACAGCTCAGTTTGGTCACGTTGGGTGACTCCATAACCATTGGAAGATGACAGACACCTCCAGAAACCAGCTATTCACTTCCAAAACAGACCATTAGGACAGCAAAGATGCAAGTCTGGAAGAGTTTGGCTTTCTACACAGCTTATACAAGTAGCCTAAGGTAGATACCAACAGCTAAATTGGCCAAGGTAGATCTTACATCCCCTAGCTTAATTCTTTTTAATTCACAAAAATCCAAACAGTCAGGAGACCACAATCCATAGCACCACATATTAATGTTACCAAAAGAAATCTTGCGAACAAGACCTTTCACTTGCCTTCAGAAAAATGTTTACATTTCTGTAGTGTGTGAAAATTTGGGCAAATTTACAGATTTTGAAAGAAAAATTCTTTGCGAGATGCATGATGAGACTGAGTTTTACATTTCTGGGTAAGGAGAAATATTTCTATTTCCAGTAAGAAACCACCTCTCTAATCCTGCACTCTTAGGCTGTTTGGCATTCATTTTATTCCCTTGCTATAGAAGTAGACTAACAGTGCAGTTTTAATTCAGTTCAACCTTTCCAGAGACAACTATTCATTGTCAGCAATGAATAGCAGAGAAGACACAGTGTTGCCTTTCAAACAACGAAAATTAAATTAAAAACTTATTGGTTGCATTTTTTTTCCTTGAAGTAATTGATTTCTCCTCATTTACCACCACTCTGTCTGCTCAGCTCAAGGGAAACTGGACGAAGCATCCAATGTCGCATCACTACGACATAACATTCCCATCTGAAGTCCAATAAACACTCTTAGAGCTGCTCAGGATCACAAAGTGTTCATTCCCCAGCCTTAGTTTCATTATATAGGTAATGTTGTTCTTGAACATATGCAGCTGTACATATGATGGGGCCAAAATTGTAGCAATTTTGGTCTTTTTCTTTCACCTACCCACATTATCCCATACTTATTTCTACACATTCTTTCCTCTCCTGCATTTTTAATGATTAAATTACCTTTAACAACCAAACTGGCAGATGTTTTCTTATCACCAGCTTCAAATGTAATGACCCCCGAGTCCTTCAGTGAGAGCTTTTTCAACGTTAGCAAGTGATATCCACCAGGCTGGGACTGGATGTCATTAAGTTCATTGGTATGGAGTGGGGTTTTATCCAAAAACCACTGCACTTTGCTATAGTCTACAGGAGAGATTCTGCATCTGAACATGGCAGATTCTCCTTCTAACACAGTGACATCTTCCAGGTCTTCAGTTATTAGCACTTTCTGGCCTGAAAGGAACATAGATACATCAATTACTGCAATCTTCAGTTTCTACCATGAAAATCCATATGGAGAACTCCAAGATTTCCTATGTGAGTATTTCAAGAAAGAAATATGATACAGAAGACTGAAACACAAAAACCATTCACAGGAAAATAATATATACAAGACACACAGCAAGAGAGGATGAAGGCAACTTCGAAGCACCAGAACACATACAGCAGAGCAGGTGGCCAGTGCAATGCAAATCCAGTGTGATAATCAAGTTTCTACTAATGAAATCACCTGAAAAGGCTGAAAGGATGTGTCCCTGGCAGCATCATTGGGCTCTAGACATCACTGAGCAATTGGTCCCTCCCATGACAACCTCTCTGTTTTTCTAGAGCAAATATAACTTGCTTACCATGGGACAGGACCACAAATCCCCACCTTCTTTGAACTTAGTCCAGCCATCAACACAGACTGCAGATTTCATAAAAAGAAATTAAACAACCTTGAAAACCTGCCTGTATAGATATAAATAAATAAGTTTATCACTGTATACAAAGATACATCTGCTGTTGCTCCTACTTACAAAACCAGCACAGAGAATTTTTACTTTTATCTTGAGCTTTGTGATAGAAAGTGTTTCACTGAGAAAAGTTGGTGTTAAGGACCTTACAGTTAATGCAGGTCCTGAGACCATGATGGGACTAAGCCCACTTCTTTGCTTCTCAAGGCTGCTCTAGCAGATGATCAGAGGTGGAAGAGTCTGGTTTTCCCCTCTAGTGTTTAATAGCTAATTATAATAATCAATAAGTGGACACCACCACTCCATCTCCATATGATGATTCTTGAATTTTCCCTCCCATTCTCTTCATCACTTCACCAATCTCAGCTGGCGTTTCTCCCAGTTGGGGCTCCAGTGAGGAACAGTAACAACCAGACTCACTCCTTCCTAAATATTGTTACCATTGGCCACCCCAGCTCATTTACTGCCCCTAGCATCAAATAAAAGCTGCAGGGCTGTGGTCCTCAGCTGGAGATTGGGGTGTACCCTTCATCTCTAAGGTACAAAGGGACATCAAGCACCTAAAGAACCCTTGGGCTTTCATTCACCCATCCCTTCTTAGAAACCGTCACTGGAAAGAGGCATCAAAGGACATGGAGAAAAGCCTGAGGCAGAATAATTTTCCCCTCATCTCTGAATCATATCCATCACATGTTCACACAGGAACACCAGTCTCTCCTTACCCCAGCATTCTGGGTTTTAAATCACACCCAAAATACTCCAAGGTGTAATTGCTTCAAATTGGCAAATTGCGCTGCATGTCCAGCTCCACATTGCTATATTTTTGTCCACATGTCTTATGCAATGTATATACATTGTGAGGAAGATAGAGCCGGAAATCAGTGGATCTGCTACCCATATGCTGAGAAAGAAATCTGCCTGTGCATATAACATTTCCTGTTGAAGAAATGAGATGTGCAATCATATTCCTCTCACGCATACCTTGCACGACGAGCTTGGCTCTGGACTGGGCATCGCCAATGTCGCAGCTGTAAGTGTCACTGTCACTCTTCTCCAAGTTATTTATGGTCAGCTGGAGGACTTGTCCTTCCTGCGTCATCTCGTATTTCCTGCCAGCCCTGAGTTCAGCGATGCCTTTCCTCCAGACTACGGAGGATGCAGCTTTCTCACTCTTGCACACAAAAACGGCAGTGCCGCTTTCATTGACTTTTAGATCTGAAAGTTCCTTGACAAAATAATTAGGTTTTTCTGGAAAGAAAAGGAAAGAAAAAAAAAAAAGGAAAAAAAGACAGGTTTGCTACCCAAAGAATTCCTGAGCATACAGAGTGGTCTTGAATCCCTTCTGCCCCCACTTGCAGAATCACAGGATCATTTTAGGTTGAAAAGACCATTAAGATCATCAAGTCCATCCGTTAACCTAACCCAACCAGCTCCACCACTAAACCATGTCTGTAAGTGCCACATCTACCCATTTTTTACGTCACTCCAGGGTTGGTGACTCAGTCACTTCCCTGGGCAGCCAGTTCCAATGCTTGACAACCCTTTTCGTGATGAAGTTTTCTCTAATGCCCAATCTAAACCTCTCCTTGCATTTCTTCTCATCATATCACATGGACATTATCTAAGATCACCAGGTCCACATCTTTTCACATGATGTATCAGGTAAAGTGTTTCCAGGGAAGTTTAATGCCATTGTACAGGTAGTGGTGAGATCTCATCTTGCAGACTATGTTCATCACAGAATCACAGAATGTTAGGAGTT